AAATAAAAAAAAGTAGAAAAGGCAGATGTAGGATGGAGCAACCAGGAATAAACTGTTGGGACCCCTGCTTACCTAAGCAGGAAGGTGATAACACAGGGAAAAGAGGTGGGGTTTTTTTTTTCCTAAAGGAAATCACAGGAACAAAGAAATAATGGCACTATTCTGAAACCGTTCTGAAATTTTTACACGTGTATCGTACCAATTTGTCAACATCAAGACTTGACAATACTGGGTTACAGTGACACAACAGTGCAAGGTTAATACAGGGATGTCATACCTTGATAATATCATATCCCTCTTTGGTTCAACTCAATCATGAAATGGCCCATCCACTTTTCAAGGATGAATACCAACAGCCAGGCCATTACAGATCTGCCTGTTATGATAAATCCTGCACCTGATATTAAACCATCTGGTCTAATTGCTACTGACAACTGACAGCAAAAATTCAGTTTTATCACCAAAAATTAATATTTTCAGCAAAAGGCTGTATATGATGTATAGTGGAATAGAAGTTACAAATTAACACTGCCACAGATGCTGTCTAATACCCAGTTTAACCACAGACAGCTGAAAACAAATGGGGAACTACATCACCCACAGTGGGATGTATTTGGTGACAATGTTACAACAAAATCCCTTAATTCAGGGGCCGGTGTGAAGAACAGACTTTCTAATAGTGCTACAGCTGAAACAGGAATGAATACCAAAGGGTAACCCCCAAAATGATGTCAAATAGGAAAAGAAAACAGGGAAAAATAGAAATGAGAAAAGAAATAGACTATCAGGGCAGCTTCTTGGTCACTCTGAGACCTCCTTCTACCGCTCTAGCAGCACGAATGTGAAGTACAGTGAACTCCACACAAATCAAGAGTCCTGCCATGCTGCCCACTGTATAGATGGCCTTCTTGTACGTGAGAATCAAATGCAATGGACCCCCATATTACAGCTCAGAAGTGCTTTATCAGAGGAAATTAAGACAAACGCTTTGCATTTGCCCAGGGAGCTACCCGTTTATTTATGTAGCTAGTGAGCTGGTGAAGTGCTGTTAACCCCCATTTTACAGGTGAGATACACAGACCAGCCTGAGGTGCAGCAAGGATGCTCTGACAGAGGTGGAATCTAATCCCAGGTGAGCACTCTCAGCACTGAAGTGTCTTCTCCCAGTTGTCTCTATGTCCATACAGACAGTACTAACTTACCCATTACTATGATGTCATGAGTAACCAAACACCAATTTAGGAGGGAAAAAAAAAAAAAAACAACTCACTAACCTCCTTTCATTCTGGGTTATTGTTCCATTCTCCAGCTTTTTAACAGTCGATGCTAGAACCTTGTTTGCATCATTGGCAAAGTCCAAATCTCTGACTTCAGACAAAGGAACCGATACAATGGCAAAAGCTTCCTTGTCCTCTTTTGTCTGGCACGTCCCAATCTGCAATAGTTTTTTGGTTTAATGTGGAGAAGCAACCCTCTTACCTTTATTCTAATTACGACGCATATTTTGTATGTTAGAAGTGAGATCACTAGTACAGAACTTCAGGAACAAGACTGGGATTTCAACATCAAGATATATGTGTTTACCTTTAACATCACAGGCCTCTCTTCATCAGTATCTATTGGAATGCTGGTACTAGTGACCCAAGTGTTAGTGCATAAATGCCTCAGTCGGACGTATGAGTTCCTAAAGGAGAACAAAGCAAACAACAGGTTAGATGGACCAGTACTGAGCTAAACTGGGCAAGGTGGGGTGCAATGCAACACATGGCCATGACATGAGACTTGAAGGCATGAGTCACACCAGTCACTCATAATAAAAGGGTAAGGGAAACCTAAAAGATACTATAGTACCCTTTTCCCTTGTCTCCTCCTTTCTCACCCAGAACAGAGCTGCAACAAGAACAAACAGCATCTTGGGATTATGCAGAAAGCTGTCTTTAAGTATTTATATAAGCCTAGGAGTAAAATATTCCTTAAAGAAAAAAATTAAAAAGGAAGGTGTTATAAAATCCCATCTGAGTAGAAACATATTTCATGAATAAATCCAATTTTTTTTTTTTTTTTTTGCAGAGTAATGAACCCCTTCAAGCTGTCACAGCACAAAAGCAGAAAGTAAAACTGACCATCATTTCACAGCTTCACCATTATGATCTGCAAACCCTTGTTCCAGGGAGCAAGCATTTACAATACCAGCTCCCAACTGAAAAATCAAGTGAACAAACAGCAGACATGAGATTCTTCTAAATTCTTTCCATATGATAATCTGTGGTATTATCAAAAAGCAGAGCTGAGAAATCAATTACAATTTTTACTCTGCATTCTACTTTTTAAATATATTCACTGTGGTCTTCATTCACGCTCTCCCTTTCATGCTGATGGGCTTTGAGTATTCAAGTAACCAAATTATCCGGAAAAACTTAGCATAGCAAATATACTTCAAAGCTGCATACATCAGTATTTGCGGGTACCCAGCTTTAAAATCCACCCTTGTAGTAACTAGCCCCAAGTGCCTGCATGCCCATTCAGTCACAACCAACACCGTGTGACTTATCTAGCCAATCTCAGCTAAGCAGCACTGTTGAAATTTCAAATATTCGCAATTAAAACCCAGAAGCCACTTGCTGAATTGATTTGAATAACAAATGTGTTCAGTGACATCGTGATCTGTCAGGGAAACAGAAGTCCAGTTCATTCACCATACACGTTATTTTGTTGAGAATAATTCAGTTAGATCTATTAGCAGTACAGTTTTTTCAAACAGTGCACAGGGTTCAATTATGTCCTCGTATATATCTGTGCAATATTTAGCCCATTATTTTTCTCTCCGTAGACTCTCTTTAAGTGTCACTTGTTTTATCCTTATAATTTAATTATTTTACCCAGTCACAGCAGCAATATCATGTTTTATACATCCCTTGTTTATCCATGAACACTCCTCAAATTTTAACTGAAGGATAATACTAGCTCGTGTTTGATTTTTTTCTGCTTTACTCACCAGCATAATGCTAGGAAGAAACCCTGTCAACGTAGCACTATTTTTCTCCTTTTTTTTTTTTTTTTTTTACCTTGGAACCAGGCAATCAGCTCTCTGAAGAGTGGTGGCATCCAGTTCAAAGAGAGATGCGATGTCATTTCCATGTGGCACAGAGACCAAAGTATACATAATCTTCTCCCCTGCTTGGCGTTTCTTCTTTGAAGCAGGAAGGTCGCCGTCTCTCTGCTGATTAGGCACAAGGGTTATTTGCTTGCATCAGGGCCCATTATAAATTCTCCAATTACCTCGCAGACAAGTAATACACCTGAATTGTACTTTTTTTTTTTTTTTTTTACATTCTAGTAAGAACACAAAGGATGCACTTTGCCCCAGGCACATGGGGTCTCAGACAGTCATTATAACAACAGCAGGTCACAAGCTACAGAGAGACTGCAGTACTGTATACATTATTACTTGACACATTCAACTTCAAAAAACCTGCGGTAGTTGCAGGCCCTTCACTCCCAACAGATGTAACTACACAGCGCTGGTTTGGAAAGGGCCAAAGTTAAGAGAACTTATGAAAATGGGATTTTTTTTAAAGGGGGGAGGGGATTAGAAGAGAAAGCAATTTGCCTAAATCCACTGTTGTTTTATTTAAGTTTGCTCATTTTTTCCTCTCATATGGTCAGAATCACAGCAGCACGCTTTCCAAACAGCTACAGCCAGAATACCTGCTCCACTAAGATCAACCTGTCATTGGAAGGGGGACACATAAAGCACCAGCTAGATTGTATTAGAAAATTAGCACAGGCTGATAATACATCAGAGGCTGGATCCAACATAGGTCTGAGTTTGCCTGCTGCAAGTGGAGAAGTTTGTTCCCTTTAAAGAGCCTAGCTTCCAAGTGACAGACTTACAAAGTTGTGTTGGTGCCTCAAAAGAGGCGTGCGAATCTAAGGTGGCAATATTCCTCCCACCATCTGCTGAAAGTCTGTGGGAATTTTATGACCTAGCACCACTAAGCAGCCGTCTTCATCCTTAGTTACCTACATTCCTTTGTCTTCGCAGACTCCAAATGCTACCTTCCCTAAGCATATATCTTTGCTTGAAGGAGTAATTCAGAGTCTGTGCCTGTAACCACTCAGCAACCAAGAGAATTACTGGCATAAGTAAAAGCTGCTCCTCTGGGGTGTTGAGTTACACATATTACAAAAGACTAATAACCAATTAAGACACTGGCAGCCCAGGGCCCTTCATGTACACAAAATATATCACAGAGGGAGAGGAAAAGAGGCATGAAGAAAGCCAAGAGAAAAATCAAACACTGGAAACCTGAAATACTATTATAATGATTTATAATGCACCACTAGGGAAGAGATGTACAAAGCAATGTAAAGAGGCTAGGCTGTACTCAGTTTGCATTAGTACCTTGATTAAAACCAAACTGTAAGGGATAATCAAGAGCAAAGCTTTGATTAGTCATATTGCCAATTGAGATTAAGCAACAAAATCAAGGACGAGTGAAACTACATAAGAAATAGCTAGTTATCATCTCATTTCAAGGCACCTTTTGAATTCATCCAAAACATCCATTTTTTCATTATCAAGTCTAAAAAAAGCCAGCTTTCCATCCCATTACTTCTATCAAGGACAGAGACAGTAGGAAAAGAACAGGAAGAAGTCCACATCGAAATTTTTTCTTAGGCTCATCTAGTCATTAGAGTATTGTCACTAGGTTTCTGAGAGGAAGGCTTGCTGAGACAAAGGGCAACCATCTCCTGTGTCTCACACAAGAGTAAACTCATCTGGCAGTCCTCATAGCCTACCATATCCCATGCCCAAAAAATAACAAACAAAATCGAACAAAAAACTTAACCTGTATACGAGGATTGAGAAAATAGCAAATTTTTTTGTGATTTCTGTAATTATTTCATTTTACATACTCAGGATGAGACTCAAACTGGAAAGGCAGGCAAACTATAAGAGAATCCTCTTAAGAGCTTAATAGTGAGAGTCTAACATCAAATGAAAATCTACTTCCTAAACTTCCAAACAAAATGGAAAACCAGTTTAAAATTCAAGAGGTCTGTAAAGGCGTGAGTAGCACAGGATAGTTTAGAACAGCATACAGACTTTTTGATATTTTTCGTAACTTACATTCAAATCTAGTTAGTTTCCCAGAAACTACACACTGTACTGCAATTTCCAAACTGAAAAGACTAGTATACAAAAAGGCAGGACACTTCATAATTTTGTGCATTTTTTCCCAGGGTTCTGTGAAAAATACAGACCAAAACAGGAAACCATATTCTACTCTGTGTTATGATACTTATTGATGACATAACATCTAACCATCCCCAGTAGGTCATTATGCACATGTGCAGGTTTCTATGACAGGAAGCAAAGTCAAAAGCAGGTCTCCTGTGCTTTAGTAGTTCACACTAACCGTTAGCTCTGTGGAGAAGTTCATCCTGCAGTTTGGGACTAACTCCACCTACTCACTAGTCTACCCAAATTGTATAGATGCAGTTGAGCAACAGAGTTGGCTCATCAGGCCTAAATCCCACCAACCAGGCTTAGCAGCTGTCAAATCAGAACTGGCATATAAGCATGAGTTGGGTTTTAGTCTAAAAAGAAAGTTCACTTCAACAGAAGGCAAAACAGTGGCTGCAACATTGCTAACTGCAATGCAAAGCTTAGCTGAGCAAAACCAAGAGCTGTACAGTAGTTCCAGACTGTACTTCGGCATAAATCTCAGAACTCTCCTTATAATGTTGTTTTAGGATCTCAGACAGACTTCACAACCCAGCCTGGATTATGGGTGTAAGCCCTAGTCATGTAAAAAAAGGCGTAACAAGTGACCCTCAACTGTTACAGCTCTGAAAATAACCTACATACATGGAGTGCATGAGAGAGAGCAATGCTGTCATTACGTATGAACATACATGGATTTATATTTGTGTCTGAATTTATGTCTGAGTTCATGTGCACATGCCTACATGTGAGAAAGGAAGAGAGACAATGCACACACACTTGCATACATAAAGTATCTTATGATTAATTAAATTTAGTAAGCAGCCATCAGAATCTTCATTTAACCTAGCCATTATCGAATCAGCAGATAAGTCTACATTAGGATGTGGAAAGAAGTGAAAGTATTAGACTATTTCAAATTAATTAGACAATATGATCAGGTCAGGAGAAGCACTGCATTCCTAAGCAGACGAAAACAAGATGACATTTGCTTAGGTAAGAAAATGGCACGTAAGCAGATGCAGCCAGCAAAAACAGATTCAATGATGAGAAGGAAAGAAAAGAACTGTAAAGGGACTTAAATGTAGAGAGATGAAAATTCAACTTAAAGCAGTATGAAGACAAAACCAATGAACAGTTTCAGAGGTGTTGGTGATGTGGTCAGTGACAGCCAAGGAAAGCACTCCCAAGACTTCTTAAAAAAAAAACAAAAAACAACCACAAGTGAATTACATGCTAGGAGTATAGAGGAGGGGTGCAAGAACTGTGGGTAAAACAATATTAGCAAATACTAAATTCACTCAGAAAAAAATAGTTTTGACTGTCCCAAACTACTGGTAAGCTAGTGCAGGCTGTTGCAAGTCAAATAAGATACATATCAAAGGTGAAGAAGGTGGAATCACCTCACTCTGTTGTGCACTCATTAAATCGCTCACAAGGCTGAAGGAAACACACATTCAGCTCCTCTTCTGCCTGGCAGCAGATGGACCTACACCTTCCAAAAGACTGACCTGGTCCAAATATCAAGTGGTAAAAAGAGCAGAGTCAGCCTACTCTGCCTAACAAAACCGAAGTGTCCACCCAACTGGAGGCTGTTAGCACCCCAGTCGCCAGCCTCATTCTGCAGCAGTAAAGCGAAGCACACTATTAGCATGCACGATGGGACTTTGCCAGGAGGGGAAACTGAACACAGCCCTACCATATAGAGCCAGCAGCCAGGGCACTTTTCCGGGGGGGACTTGTCTGAGGAAGCAAAGGCTGAGCGTCCAAAAAAGGAGTTCTAGTTAGCGAAAACAAACAGCCATTTTGATAAGGAGTGGAAATACTGATCCAGGCCCACAGCAAGTCCGTAATTCCCAGACTATCACCACTGATCCGCAGTGCATAGACCGATCTAAAAAGAAGCTTAAAAAACCCCAATGCAGACATGATATGGTGCTTGCAATTTGAAGGGCAAATGTAACTGGAGACAAATCCCATATTGTAATCAGAGACAAAATAATCAGGTACAATCAGATTTGTCTTTCTTGAGACTTGTAGCCCAGCAGATAACCCTTCTTCACAGATCTTAATATAATTTCCTAGTAATTGTGACCTATCCCAAATTCCCATTATTCACCTCAATTGGGTATCGTACCTAAAATTCAGGAGATTTACATGGAGTTTTGCTTATGGAGGGGCCTTCCTTTCAACTGCATAAAGCAATACAAAAACATGACAGACCTGAAACACTTTTTCTTTTAGAAACTCAATCTACAATTCCAATTGGTAAAGATACCTCTTGTGGCACAGAGACAGACAAGGATAATGCCCTGCTCCTGAATGAATACATTAAGCTGCACTACAGATTTCAGCAGAAATATTAAATTTAATAGCAGCCAGAGTTCTGAAAATGCCTGTTAAATCCAGTACAATGTGGTATCTCAATGTTAACCCAGTTTAGGAGGCTTTTACAAAACCAGCGTTTTCAGAGAGTGGTAATGTGAGCAGAACCCCATAGGTCAGATGATTTTAAAAATTCTATATGAAAAGAAAGTCAGGTAAATTAATGGCTAGCCTTGCTCCTGCATGTTATGAAGCCCTGGCAGACAGCACAGCAGTTAGCCTCCTATAACACCTTCACTGTTGACTCATTTGTGAGTCATCGCATTTTCAGCAGAGACATCACGTTGCAATTCTGTTGTTAGGAGCCAGAGACATTCTGTAAGAAACAATGTATGCGTTTTCAGAGCTGAATCAGACCTGTGTGCAGCAGCAGAATAATATTAATGTGCCGGCATCCCTGTCTCCCCTTCTCCCTCCAGCCTCTAAAGTGGTCTGACTGCTGGCTTTATATAAGTAGAGACAATGCCATTTTAAAGCTGATTTTTTTTCTTTTCTTTTAATTTTTTTCAGATTGTTTATTGCCAGGTTAATTCCTAACCAAGCCTTTAAAACACAATAAATTCCCCAAGCCTATTCAACTTGTTTAAACTTCATTACCTGTGTCTCACATTATAAAAGTTTAATTAAACAAACTTAGTTGCTGGAAGGTAAAATAAAACTTACTAAAATAAATTAATTTACAGTGTTTATCAGCAAAAATAAAAACACCTGCGTTGGAAGTAAGAAAGAAAACTGAACTGCAAAGTTGTTTGGAATTCATAAATATATGTAAACCTAAGTCAAAGGAGATATATCAAATTGCACCCGGAAGTCCATGATAGAACTGTCCAGCTTCTTTACAACAAAAGTAAATGCATACCAGTCTCAAGACTAAGAAAAATGTCAACAATAAAAGCTAGTTTGAAACTGGTTAGGATTAGCACTCTCTCATGAAAACATAGACAAATGGAGTTAAGGTACCTATCCAAAGACAGCCTTTAATACAAAGGTGCTAACAAATGCCAGGTTCCCAGCTGTTCTTGACATTTTCCCAATGTTTATAGCATTCTTCTGGATGCTGTACACTCCTGTGATTAGAAATTATAGACTACTTTGCAGCATAAAATACATTCATTTTGGAATTAATGGGAGCTGCATTTTCATGCACGATACGCTACAATCTCCTACACTTCAAGGGAAGAAGTAGCCTTTTTTGATAAGGCCTTTAAATCACAGAAAGGTCTTCCCATTTAACAAAAAAAAAAATCTTCTGGAGTTTAGATGTAAGAAAAATATGTATAAAGAATATTAATCAACTCATTGTAAGGCCAAATTTTACCAGAAATAAAAGCAGTGTTTCACAAGACAATCTGGCTAGATTCTCAAGAAGCAGCCCATAAATTAACTGCAGTCCAAACGTAGGGAACAAAAGTCCTAGTGGCTTCCAGTAATATTTATGTTCTCCAGAGCCAAAACCCTTTCAGACTTTTAAGTCGCTCAATGCAAGGCAGAAAAGAAGCACTCAGGCAGAACCTAGGTGCCTATGCCCAGTACTGCACCATGGAAAATCCTTCTCCATTGCTGTTTCCTAAAATTCAGTTGCCTAAGCAACTGTGATCAGGACTTGTAAACCAGGCAGCAAACATGCACAAGAAGCCCTATCGCACATTTAGGAGTTAAGGGTTGGCACAAAACAGCACAGATGGCTGTGCTGCCTTCCTTTAAAACCCAGACGACGGAGAAGGAGCTGGTACCCTTTTATCCAAGAGACTAGCAGAGAAAAGAAAAACACATGCTGCAGGCTCAGTTTCTTCCTCCAGTTGAAAGGATTCAAGTATGCATCTCCCATTTCCCTGCTACTCGGACTTCAAATTTTGCTGGGATAGGTCCACTTCCACCTCCCCCTCTAGAGCAGATTTACTTCATGGGCAGTATTTCAAAAGCAATTGCTTCAAAAGATGAAAAAGAAGATGTCTTTGTAGTGAATCAGGGAGTCACCTGGCTGAAGAAACACTTGATAAAACCTACAAAGCAAAGAAAGCGTGTGCGCTCCAGGTTATGTGCACACTGGATACCAGACTGACATAGCTGGCCCTTAAAGAACTCCAAATATTATAAGATTCTTGTACTTTTGAGGGATAATTCAAAACACTGCATCACTGTAACATGAAAGAAATTCCAGTACAGGATGTGAAGCTCTTCTGCTCAGTTGCTCAAGGCCAGAATGAAGGCTTAAAATAGCCATTCCTGACTCATGCTATCTCCAACAAGACTATAAAGGGGTGAATGAATCAAAGGGATTTCTACCATGCTAAAAGTGCCTGTAGCCTTGGATTTACATGGAGGTGTTACCAAACATTGTCAGGAGTTCTTTCACAAAATATTTTTCACAAGAAAGTTCTGGCTGCGTACACTAGAATTTCCACAGAGACATCAGTATCAGTTTTGATCATCAATCACTTTTGATTAAATTTTCATTGGAAGTATTTGTCTAATCTGACTTATCTGGTCTAGGTTTTTAGTTGAAATCAATACCCAGGAGGATTAAGGCAAACGGTTAGAGAAGTCACCTTTAACATTCACATTCAGTTTACTCTCGTGCCTGCCCCATTACCCAGTCCAGGGAATATTTAACTATTCAGATGAACTGGAATTGCTACAGTTGGAAACCCCATAGTATATCTAAATTAGTATAGTGTGGTACAAGAGGATTAGATCCTTGGTGATAAAGGGCTAACATCTACCCTATACATGTTTTCATAGGTCTTACTTCAGACTAGCTGTAGGCTGGTTTTCCGGGCCGGGCACCTATGAGAGGCTGAAGTACAATAGATATATTCCGAGGTGTGTGTATCTTTTTATTTTCATCCAATAGAATACAACTGGAGTGTCCTAAATAGAGAATAATCTGGAGATTTGATTCAGAAGTGCCGTCATGATGTGAACTACAATGTTAATGCAGATGCATATCTATGAGATGAGCTCTACCGTTCATAGGGCATGAAACCAAGAACTTCCAAGCAAGCACCCTACTCACTGGGTATTCTAGAATTTATCTTGATTTCCATTCAAAAGCTCCAATGGCTTCAAGTGTCATTCCAATACGGAAGAGAAACAACTGGTGGAATTTCCACATTTTCATGAGAGAGAATGCCCATTTCTCTGGACAGCTTAGATGTTATTGCTATATTACCATTAATACCAAATATCAGGGAAGATGGAAAATCAATGTTTCCAACTCCTACAAGTCTCCATTTTTATTAAAACTACAGTCCTTAAGGCATATGATTATGTAAGCATCTTGGGTTTCACGTCATGAAAAATAAAAAATTCATCCCCATGCAGGGAAAAACTTGAAAATGCGTCCTCTAAAAGAACAAAGGCCAGAAGGCAAACAAAAAGAAACTAAACAGATTTTTTTCAAAGAAGATCTCAGCTTTTTCAAGGCAATCTCATGAATTTGATGGAGGAATGATTCTTTTTTTTGGACTACTCGTTGTTTCAATGACAGTAAGATTCCCCCAGGGTTTTAACTCCACTTCCTTCATATGTTATAAACTACACGTCTGGCCTTGCCTTGTTAGTTAGAATTAGCTAGCATGCTCTTGAAGTTGTACACGGCAAAGGCTGTTACCTCTCAGGCAAAGGGCATAAGGCCTTTATCCAACCCACCCACACCGCAGCAAGGACAACTTGGATCCTTGCGAAGATGTCATGCTAGAGTTGCCTGAAGTGTGGCAGGGCTCAGACTAAGTCTGTGCTTGACTATCTGCTTGCATGTATTCAATACAGGCAATAAAAAGAGTATCGGCATGTTCTTAGATTTAGAGCCACACTTGACTGACAAACATACCCCAAAGGGGCTTGTCTCCACTAGCAGAGCCTCTGAATTGGGACTGGCACATAAGTAACCAGACTTGCTTGTCCCTTATTTTCTTGCTAAAGGGGGTGGATGTTGCCATGTATCTGATTTGAGAATAATTAATACATTTCATATCTGCAGCTACCAAGCAGAACAGCTTCCAACTAAGGCCAACCTGATGCAGAATTTGAGTAAGTTTCCTACCACTTACCTTACACGAGGGAAAACTTTCTGTAATGCCAGTTCTGAGTTGCACCCTAGTTTACACAGGATATGGAAAACAATTCCAGAGGCCGCAACATGTAAGTAAAAGGAAAGCTATGTAGAACTTTCACATGTTAGGCTGCATTGGGTTAAGGATACAGTATTTCCCAGATTATATGCAACATATATATTCCACTTACCAAAGCTTTTCCTTCATTATTACCTTCTGGATAGTGTGGGTTAAGCTGGAAAAGAAGAGAAGTCAGATACTATGTTGATAGCTTTTAGACATTTGAGAATTGGGGGGAGGGTTTGGTTCAATTCTGTATTACGTATCCATCCTGCAAAAGGACAGTGGAGTATTTAGAAGCAGGATGAGAACAAGAGTACAAGAATTACAGATTCAATTTCTGACTGACTTAATGGGCTATGTCCTCACTTCAAGAAAGTGCATCTTGCAATCAAGCTTGTTAACTCAAGAGAGCAATCTCAGATAACCAAAATCAAAAAGAACGATGAAGAAAGCACAGATAGTTACTAATCTAAACACAGCAAGTTACAGTCACCCACACACATACGCACGCAACCACTTCCAGGATTGACCTTGAGCAGATACATCGAGATAAAAACTAACATGCTTCATGTCTACTGAGATTTTACAGGAAGACAGTGAACTCAGAATAAACACAACGTCGAAACAGGAATGGCAATGCCACTTAGACAAGTGTTTAATTACCTTGTGATTCTGTTTAACCATTATTAATGGGGATAATATTTTCTGTCATAGCAGGATTATCAAGCATTAATTAATAACTAAAGTAGTATGAGAAGCTTAGATGAAAGACACTATATAATACTAAGTGTAAAGTATTACTATTTAACCATGTTTAATTTTTTACTTTTGACAAGGGAAATATGTAGACTAGAAGATGAGGGATTATGTAGGCAGATATATACTCAAATAAACAAACACACATACACCCCCACACTGGCTGCATATGAAACCTTTCAAGATTTGACTTACATAATGAAACAATTTTGCCTCAATATTTACCATACTTCCTGACACAGGATATGCCGTCAAAGAGTTGAAAATGCTGAAGTTAAATTATTACTTATATAAGGTAATTTAGTTCTTAAGCAACAACAGCGTGTATACATCTCACAGATAAGTATAGTAATTTTTTTGGCTTGAATTTGGCATTACCAGTGTGGAAGAGCCAGAATTGAATTGCACAGGGCAAGCTGAACGAATCCCAGTAAAGCTTTTCAGTATCACATCATCATATATCTAACTTTACACAGACAACTCTCGTGAAGAGCTTTTATTAAGTTTATAAGGTTTTTATTAATACTGTATCATTTATATCCCTTTACCCAAAAATAAGCCAGCACCTCTCCACATCATGAGCCTGAAGAAAGGAGGAAAACTTTTAGATATTCCTAAAATTGCTTAAAATACCTTCCCTCTGTCTCATGACTCAATGTGCTAACACAGAAATGACCAAAGGTTTATTCTCCTGTTTTCATGTCAGTATTTGCATTAGCCACTGTGTTACCCTCACAAATCTAATTTAGAGAGCCTGCTTTCCTCCCTGCATTGACACCTATCCCAAATCTTGCATTTTTTTCCTCCATGACACTCTCACAGTCTCCTAGCTCCAACTCCCACCTACTTCTGTTATACAGCAACAGGAACAGGAGATGAACACTGCAACTAGAAGTTGTACATAGACACATACATGTACATATATATACATTGTAACTGTTCTCATATAGTTTTGATTTCTTCATCCATCCTCACACTTTAAGAATTACCTTAAAATAATTCTAGATGCCCATTCTAACAGCCAAGCTGTGCTCCCTACCTTTGGTCCTCCATCAAGAACAGATAAAATCAGGCAGTGCCTCTTAGTCACAGCCACACACAGAGGCCTTTCAGCACTGGTGCAGAGAAGGTACAGAAAGGCTAAATTCTATCCTATCTTCAGGTTCTGCTGCTTGTAATCAAACGAGAAAAAGTCTGGGTCACCTCAGGTTTGTCACTAGAGTCAGCACAGAGAACCATGCACTGAAGACTAGATCTTCAAACGGAACAAATCTATAATGTTTCATTGAAAGGCCTGAGTGAATACAGTTGTCTACCAAGTATGAACTGGGCCTTGAATTCTGCTACTCTTGAGCTGTTTGCTTTCAACATAACGATGCTTTTTAAAATATATAGCAACAACAGGAGAAACGAGGAAAATCTCTCTCCCACGCCACTTCTTGCCTACTTCAAAAATGACTGAACAGATTGCCCTCAAATTTCCAAAATAGTTTACTTGTGGACTGAGGCTGAGGGAGACAGAAGGCTCAAATGAAAAATGAAGTGCATCCTTAATGACGGGTTTTTTCTTGCCCCACTGTAACAGAAATGATAAAACTTAAAAGATTATGTTTAGAGAGAGTTTTGAGATGCTGGAATTAAACTGTAAACACGATAGAATGTGCTTTTAGGGATGATGTTCATGGCCCCATTTTCAGCTGTGCTGAGCAGCTGCTGCTTTCATTTTCATTTCAGCTGAGGTTGTTGGTGCTGAGCATCTCAGAAAAACAGACTATTTAGCTATTATCCCATATGATATTCTCCAGGTAGAGAGGCATAAATCATGTAGTGTTGTATGTCATATTAGACCTGTTCTGAGTCCTTTTCAATATCCAAGTACAGCAGAATGAGCTAAGGACACAGTGACAAGTCTTAACACTCCAAAATCTACTGCTTTTTCTGATTTATGTAAGATCACGTCCTTCAATAAGCCTCCAAAACAAAAGAATCCTTGAAAATAACATTAATAATTTTTTTTCCTTGTTGCTAATGAAATCAAGTAAAATTCATTGCAGGTGCTTAGAAAGTAAGAACACTGTGCTAAAATGGGCCCCATTAAAGCTCAACCGCCTTCAAGCTTTTTTGTGTCATTGGATGTGTTGAAGTTGCAATGTTACTGAAGTGTAGCTGAAATACAATACTGTATGTTTCTGTAAAATGGCACTGGAAGGTGCATGCAGTCAATATGCAGTAAGAACATGGTGCACTGTAAACTGCAGAGCTCCAGCAAGTGTGATTGTATAAATCATTATTGTAACAGCTTTGTTATATGGGTTTTTTTAGAGTATATCTCCAACAGCTTCTTTTCCAATGCAGAATAACCCAGCAATCCTAATCTTCCGCTGCTTGTTTTTCAACAAACTTAGATAAAGGCATTTTTTACCTTTCATGGATGGATGACAAAAAGATATCACAAAATGAGAGTTCAGCTCCCTCATGTCTGAGAACTAAACAATATCAAAGACCTTGAAACTCATTTCACATTATGAGATTCACCATAATATCCCAACACTCTCCCATTACATAAGGCCACACAACCTAACCACCTGAGTAAAGGTGGCAATCGCTATATGGTAGTAAGAGAGGTGCAGTCTACATCAAGAAAGACAGACTGCATTAGTAGAGAACAACGAGGGAAGGACAAAGAAGAATTCACATCAGCGAAGTGGTGAACTGTCCACCTGATAGTAGTAGTATAGGCAGCCAGCTCTATTGTGGGGATTTTGCAGTTGGGCAAGGCTAAAGTGGTCACCTCTCACTGCTCCAATGACAATGATCTATGACACCACAGCCACCTCAACTTTTTCAGTTGCTTATACATATGTACCCAGACCCAACTCTACACATCCTCCAGCCTACATAAAACCTCCTAAACTCCAGAAAATGGGACTACTGCATCAACTTTTACATCACAGCACCACAGAAGACATTATGGTTTTACACAGACAGGCTAACAGTGCATACTGACTTATGTGCTGCACGAGCTTTTCCTTATGCTAAGCCCTATCAACAGGTAAGTACCACTGTACATGCAAATGCAATTTGCACAACTGATTTCACAGGAAATGTCTGGGACCTCAACTCATCTTGGAATCTGAATCTGCTTGGGAGAAGAGAGCTTGGAAGTAGCCTGGTAAACTTGTCAGTAGTCAATATCATGAGAAGGCCACCGCCACCACCACACAAGATCATATTTTTAAACACTACAATTATTTACTACTTTGGCACTATATAGAAAGATTTGCAATTACAGAAAAGATAACACATTCTTTTAAATCTAAACAGAACTAGCATTTACTTGCACGCTTTTGTAAGAAGCCAGATTCCCAACTTGTAGTCTATACAGGGTATCTGAGAGAGCCTGAAGGTCAGGGTCAGCACTGCAGGTGGTCCTCCTGGGTGTATAAAAATTTATGTCTCAGACAGATTTCAGGCTCAGCCTTTGTACATGTGGCACATAAAAACACTAGACATACGAACGCATACATATACCAATGTACTCATATGGTAAGAGTACCAGAAGGCCCCCAGGAGAGTATGGGTGGCAAACACGTAACAGAAGCCAGCTTTTACAGGTGGAAAACTGAAGTACAGACAGTCTTTAACTATTTCTGGCTAAAATTATTTGGAAGGGCAAGGAATCTCATTCTTGGGCTTTTGCCTAGTGCCCTCATAATGTGATCGATCATCCTCCTGTAAAGGCTGTTATTTCTGGGATTTGGTGCTCAGAGAATACAAGTGCCCTGCTGATCCTGAGAGGTATTCTGCTAGACTGAGTGCCAGAAGTTCCAGGCTTTGTCATCTCCACTGATGACATTTGTACTGATTAAAGCTAGTCAAAGTTATATCTTAAAGATTTCAATACATAAGACTTCACAGTGCATAATCTCCTGAGGTTCTACTACTGAGCAGAACAACTTCTCACTAACATGTTATTCCTGGCTTTAATTTTATTTTTGCATCTTCATGTAGTAAGATAAGCTTTTCAGTCCATACTATGGACAAACATGTCGGAATTTCACATTCATACTGAATGCTGCTTTCTTAGAGGAATGCATGGAAAGTACCCAAACAGGCTATATTTGGACACTCAATTAAGAAGGAGAGAGGAGTTTGGGGAAAGAAACACCCATGCTGATTTTAATCAAATTTTGTTGACTAGGTAAAGGATATTTAAAACATCTCATCTGGGAAAGAATTAGATTGCCAAATTTCAGCCTAATGAGCTTTTTAACTACTTGGTTAAAACCCACATTTATGAAGGAAACCCTGACAGACAAAGAATAAAAGGATCTAATTCAACACACGTAAACAGTTCCCATTTCATTTGATAACCAGCCTGTTAACACACAGCCTGTTACCCAATCAACAAGGGCA